CAAGCAGAGATAGGGCTCAGTGTGTTTTTTAAAACATTGGCCAGTTGTTACAAGGCCTGGGCTCAACAAATATTGAAAAAAAAAAAAACTATTATGAATCCAGGTATAATGGCGAGCTCCTATAATTCCAGTTACTTAGGCTGAGGCAGAAGGGTGGCTTGAGTCCATGAATATAAGGCCAATATGGGCAACGTAGTGAGCCATTATCTAAATGTGGGAGGGAAGTCCTTGCATGTATTCAAAGACAGGTAAAGAACCAGTCTATGTGTCCTGAAGCCCTTCCCTGAATGTGTATCCCAACAAAGCCTGACCTGATCAAATGTAAGGCATGGTACTTATTTAATTGAATGTATATGTTGATATGAGTCTTCATTAGTCTAGCTACTAGATATTCTCCTAGCTTCACTATGATATATTTGTCAACTTTCTAAAATCTGAAATATTCTCCAATATATCAAGATGTACAGGTTTTAGATAAAAGATTCTGTATCTTTATTATCTTTGGATACTCTACAGTTTGTACTTCCACAAAATAAATGTTACAGACACAAATAACTACATATAATAAGATTCTGAGCTTTAATATTAGAGACTGTTAAGAGGATCCTGGGTTTCTAGAATGTTCCTTTCAAATTGATTCTAAAGAACTAGGCATGGTGGCACATCCAGTCATGGGAGATAGCATCAAGAGGATGACAAGTCAGAGGTCAGCCTGATATATACAGTTAGACTCTATCTTAAACAAAACTAAGTAAATATAACAAATCAAATAGAATCCATTTGTAATATTGTATTCATATATCATAATAGACATAGACATTTCAACTAAATTCTGGGAGTTGCTTAGAGAAAATCTATTTATTCTTGTAGTCTGACTCATAAGTAAATAATTAACACTCCTTATGGGGTATAAATGTACCCTGAATCATGTACATCACAGAACTGAAGAGCTGGAAGAAAACCTTAAGAACTAAACTGAACTATTATCCCTTCCATTCCAAACTGTTTTAACATCCATGAATTTCTTTTTCCAGTAAGGTAAGGATAACCTGCCCTGACTTGTCCTTAGACTTGGTCTATAGCAACACCCTGCAAGTCATGTGAACAACCTGAATGTAGTACATGTAGACACATGTGGAGCAAAAAAAGATTATCTGAATTGAATATAATCTATCTTAAGAGCTTGGCAAATGTTTCAGATTATATTTAGAAAATCACAAAAATTTCTAAGTCCAGATAAACGATAATTTATCTAACACATATTTTTAAGAAATATATACAACTTAACATGGTCAAAATATATTCAATGAGTCAACAACATAATTTAGCTGCAGAGTGTGTGTGTGTGTGTGTGTGTGTGTGTGTGTGTGAGAGAGAGAGAGAGAGAGAGAGAGAGATACTGTCCTTAGGGAACTAAATACATAATCAGTATTGTACCCAGAAGAAATAAGGTAACCATTCTTTCTGCTTTGAGCTATGCTAAAGTACATCTAGACTATTAGGTTCAATTCTATTCTGTGTTTTAGTAGAGTCACACAAAGACTGAAAAGATTCAGAATAGAAGTGACCAGGATAGTGAAGAAATATGAAATCATGCCAAAGACCAAATGAAGAATTTAGCTAAGACTCAGAATATGATCACATCCACAAAATCTGAATAAGTGCACAGGGTAAACAAACTTGTTGTATGTGTTCTCAAAGGCCAGATTCTGCCTAGTTAAATGTTAGGTACAGGCAGAGGTGTTCCACCTAAGGCTATAGAAGTATTTCTTAATATGTAGAGCCATGCTGGGCTTTGGTGGCTTCTAAGCTCCTACTAGCCTTGGAAGTCTATTTAAAACAAACAAGCAGGCAAGCGTTTGTCGTTACTTCAGGGCCTCACTGTTGATTATTACTCGCTAGTAAGATCAGAGCATTTCTCTCCACCCTTTATCCAACTAATCTGTAGAATGTCGTACCAGGTTTGTGAGAGGAAAGTGCCTGCTTGCTGGGTAATTAGTTTCAGTTTGCAGATCAGTGTCCTTGTAAACAACTGGGCCCTAACTAATGAGTAGGTAAGAGGTTTCAGCTAAATCTCCAGGAGAGAATTCTTCTTACTGATTCATATAGCCGCTATAAGACCTGTCCAATCAAATGATACAGTGAATGGTATCCAGTTCTCATAGAAATGTTGAAATAAAATTCTACAACCATCTTCCCCAATGGCAGGAAATCCAGCTTTGCAAGCCAAATCAGCTCTCTAAAATGCATAGAGAAGTGTTCCACTGTTGAAGAGTTATGCTTACTATTTGAAGTGGAATGGAGTACATGGTACAAGTAAAAAGTTCCACTTGATTATATCACTGTAAGGCCAAAATTGCCTACCAAAAGGCCACAAAGTCAGTCAAGCCTTTGAGAACTAAACAGACAACAGAATGAATTCATAGAAGACTCTCAATTACAGATTATTTAACAAAGGTGAATGACCTCGGTTTGATATCCTCAAGTGTTTGCTACAATAAAACAATCATTCCTATATTAGCCCATAAAAACTACTAAAAAAAGTTCAAATTGATTAATATTCATCACCCCATCTTTGCTTCACTTAAGGTTGAATTGAATTCTAAGTACTGATTTAGTATCTAAGTATCAGCGAATATAATAAATACATGATAGGCTTAAGAATACATTCTTCTCTGTGATTTTCAAAGCAATACACACACACACACACACACACACACACACACACACACACATATATATATACGAACTGGTTAAACAAGTCTAATTCTGTGTACATTTACAATGAAAAAATACAACTATTGGAAGGAATAAGGTAGAATCTTACTGACATGAAAGAAATAAGTTTTATGTTACATAGTTAAGTGAATACATCAAGATGAAACAATATGTATAGAATTATTGTATTTTACTTTTACAAACAATTTGATTGTTTTGATGGTGTCAGAGATGGTACACACTAAGCAAATATTTACCCCTGAGCCCTAAAAATTACTTTAAAGTATTTTTGTATGGATATATGCCCAGAAAATTGTTTCAAAGATCCAATAAACTGCTAAGAGGAGTAACCTCTAGAGACTGGGACTTATCTTTTTGTTTGTAGGCTTCTGATTATTTCTTTTGACAGTAAGAATTTAAAATAATAAACGTGAAGTGACATCGACTGTGTGTTTATTTATCAGATACTAACAAAAGCAAACAGTTTCTACTTAAATATGGTGTGCTTAAAACTCCAGAAATTCTAATATCCTTTTTCTATTTATTAAAAGCAAAGTACAAAATCACAAATTCTCACTCAGCTTCTCTAATATTTTTCGATCAGAAAAAAAGAGCTGGTCATAAGTGAGAAGCGACAGATGTGATGCTTGTCACGTTCCAGGAACTATTCTAAGCACTAAGTTAGGTATGCGTTAACAGTGAACTTTTCCTTTCCTCTCCTAACCTCTCTCCACTGTTTTTGTCTTTTTTGATAGAATCTTGCTATGTAGTCCAGGTTGCCTTAAACAGTATGTAGCCAAGACAAGCTTTGAACTGACCCCCTTGTCTTTGCTTCCTCAGTACACACTATACACACTCAGCCCAACTTTCATAATTTACACAGCAGAACTCAGCTGTGATAACCTTCAGCTCAAGGCTGAAGAAATGAGACCACAAGGATTAAGTGATCTGTCTATACTTACATAGGCAAAGGAACAATAAGCTGGAATTCAAACCTAAAAATGGACTTCAGAGCCTCAACTAAACTACTAGTCTAACTTTAGTAATATGTCAATCTCTTTTTATAAAAGTCAAATAGTATCACAAGTTAAAAAAAATAGCTAGTTAATACATTCCTGGAAACTGAAAGAGATCCAAATGTGGCTTCTTGGGGGTGAATAATCTGCATTCCTATTTATGCCTTTGCCAAGCTCCAACATACAATTCAAGACTTAACCATCTGGGGAAATATCTTCTACCAACTCAATTATAGTCCAAAGTTCATACCTGACTCCACAGTAAACCACCGAGCCAAAGAATTAGGTCAATGATCAGATCAAGCTAGACATGTGCTTTGAGCAATTCTCCACCCCAAATGCAAAGCAAAAGATCTCAGAAACTTGATGAATGTCTTAAAGAGGTAAGAGTTATTGGTTGAGTCCCTGGCCCACTTGTGATACAAAGGGATGAAAGAACAGCAGTTGACTCTTAACTTTGCTTAAAGACTTTCACTAGCAGAAGAGCTACATTATCTATTGTGAGCTGAAATTGGCATATCAGCATCAGCAGTAAAGAATATCCCAACTTAAAAAGAGCAAAAATGGCCATCCTTGCTTAAATAGCATTTGCCCAAGCACTGACCTTGGAACTCAGACAAAATGAAGTAGTTAGAGGAAGGGATTTAACCTAATTTAATAAACATGCTCAACCTAGATACACACCTGTCCCAGATGACTACCAAGTCTACTTATTTGCAGAGAAAACATGGATTACAATGCCGGTTTTATCTTTAATTTCAGGCCTGCTTGTAAGCGAAATTCCCTCTGTATGTATGTGTGTGTACACACACACACACACACACACACACACCAGCATCTGTAAACTACACCAGTGAAAAAGAAACGAACAAGGAAATTGGAGCTCTGGAGGAAACGCTTTAGGTTTTACCTGTGCATTGACAGAGCACCATTCTAGCTTTCAAACTTCCCCGGAATAACCCAGGCAGGGTGGCCTTCTGGGCGGATCCCAAAAGTTTACATTCATTCTGGGGACTAAAAAAAACCCTGTTTTAAGAAGACACACTAAGAAGCCGCTCCCTCCTCCGGATGGAGCACAGCACCAGCAGCGGGTCGGGGGACAAAACACTTTCTAGATTTGGAGGGATTGAGGTTGAGTCTAGCTGGAGCCTGGATCTTCCCTTGGGAGAGTCTAGATCAAGCGGTCAAAATGGGGCAACAGAGGCTGGGGTGAAGATAGACAGTGAATGGGAAAGGTACAGAGGTCGAGGAACTGCTGGGACTCACCTGGGGGAGGAGGAGCAGGGGCTTCGGTGGCAGGTGCTGTGGGCGGGACGCCGCTGCTGCTGTCCCGGGACTCGGCGGTCGGGGTCCAGGGAGTGCTGGGCGCCTGAGCGGTAGTGACTATGGGGGTGGTCGGCGCCTGGCCAGCTGTGCTCTCAAGGGTGCTGGTCGCGGGGCTGGAGGGTGGTGGCTCGGTGGCAGGAGTGCGTCCCTCCTCCGAAGGAGTAGCGGGCGAGGGGCCTAGAACCGGGAAGGTGGTGGCAGCGGGTCGCTCGGTGGTGCGGAGAGGGGTGGTCTCCGGGGAGCCGGCTGCCGGGGTCGCAGTCCCGGCTCTGCCGACTGTGGTGCGCGTGGGGCCGCTCCGAGGGGCCTGCGTCGTGGGAGCCGCGGCCTTGGGGAAGGGGTGGCTGGCTTGGTCCCGCAGCCCCGAGGTGGGCGACGCGACCACCTGCCCCTCCGCCCCGCTGCCACCGGTGACATTCCCCGCCAAGGCTGCTGAAGCCGCGGCGGCCGCCGCGCAACACAACAGGGCGAGGCCGCCCAGGCTCGGCAGGCTCCTCATGGCGCGCTCGGCTCCGCCATTCATTCATTCATCCAGTCGGTCGGTCAGTCATCTTCTCTTCCCTGCCGTCCGACCAAGGAAGCCGTCGCCACCGTAGCGGCCACCGAGCGCACCATCGCCACCTCCCTCTGACAGGCGGCCGGCCCCGCGGGCGGGCCTCAGAGCGGAGAGAGAGACCGGGCGGAGCGCGCACTGCCCGCCCTCCTCGATTGACAGCCAATCTTGACCAATAGGAAGCCGCGCCTACCCACGTGACCCGCCCGCTTCCCGGCCTCTTTGTAACAGCGCGGACCAATCAGAGGACGCAGAGGGGAGCAGGCGGGACGTCGGGAGGCGCGAGCGGCGTTGGAGCCGGCCAGGTTCGCGGCTGCCCCGGCTTTGTCTACCCACAGAGCCGGGCGCGGGCCTCGGGCACTCGGCGCCGCCGAGCAGACAAAGGACGCGCCTCGCGCGGCAGACGCCGGGCCAAGTCATCTGTTCCACTGGGCTGCGAGCTGGAACCGGGGCGGGGAGTCCCCTGTGGGCAGCGTCTCCGCCCTCCTAAACAATGGGGGCCCCCGAGCCGCACCCGGACTCGGGCGGGGACTAGGATGCTTCCCCGCGATGGGCGCAGGAGGTGGCAACGGTATATAGACGCGAGCTCCGCACTCACTCTATTGCTCAAGAGAGCCTGGCCCCCGCCCTGCAGGGTTAGCACTGCCACCCCCATTTCAGAGATGGAGAAACTGAAGCTCTTGCTGACAGCTACAACAAGCCAACCCCAGTCTCCCCCCCCCCCTCCCCAGCAGGCACCTGCTAGGGGCCTGGCTCTAGACTAAGCTGAATGGGACAGTCCAGAATCTTGTCGTGAGCACAAGGTGTAAGCTTCTGTCGTGGGGGAGACACACTCGCTTGCACACTATGACCTGAACCTCGGGAAGAATAGATTGGGACCCGGTTGAATTTAAGCTCTTTGCCTCTCTTGCTGAAAGGTTTTGTATTCTCAACCACTTAAATGGTGAGATGAGAGGACGCACCCCATCCCCCTCACAGAGCTGTTGTGAAAATGAAATCATGTGCACTAAGGGCTTAACCCAGTGCTTGGCCCACCATTGTAAACCATCATTAATGCTAACCACTTGGGGTAGCACTGTGTCAGGACAAGCCCAAGGTTGGAAAGCAGCCCACACTGTCTCTGCATCCCCTGGGATTCCAGACTGCTGTCGGCATTGGGGTGGGGCTGATAGCAGAACTTGACCCTGGATGACATTAAACTCTGGAGCAAGTTGGAAATTAGGCAGGCAAAGTTGCACCATCACCCAGGATCCAGTGTAGTTTCCGACTCTGTAGCTTCAGCTGAGCAACTTCTAGATGAAGGCTGGCAGATCAAGTTTGTCATCTGATGGCTTAATCCCATCCTACCAGCCTCACTGCTAAACGCAGTCCTCCTGGCCTCTCCTAGGATACTTGCCTTTGTGCATGTTTCCCATTAGTCATTCGCCTCTAACCAGACAGGCAGGATGAGATTTGTGTGTGAACTCGTGTGTGTTAACGAAAGCATGCATTTATTTGCCTGGGTGAGGAGAGGATATGCTCGAGCTTGTGTATGAAAGCATAAACACATTTGTTTCTCTGTGAAGATTGAATGTATCTGTGAATCTGTGAATGTAAAAACTTGTATGAATTTTCATACATTAATATATTAATAATGTGTGCATGTGTGTGTTTTGTGTGAATTTTCGGTTTTTTGAATGTGTGGTTCACTCTGGGTGTGTTTTTATAGACCTATCTGTGTAAGAAAGAGGGGGCAAATTGAGAGGACCATATACTGTTCAGAAGACCACTATTTAGCAAGCACTGACCAAGGTTCAGTTTTTACTTGTCTTTAGTAAGGGAGTGGACATGGCATCCCCTGCCCCCTACCTGGTATTCTTTTGGTTCCTCAACCCCAACAAAATGCCACATCCTCTAGGAGACTTGAATTTCTGAGTGGGAGTTCATTCCCCCACTCCTATTTCCTTACTGCTCTTTGTTTATAGCCCTGATCTATCAGCCCCTGCCTGTTTCTAAAAGGATTAATGATGACTTTTAGATATATGTACCACAAATAAAATGAACCACCCACATGACTTAATTACTTCTCCTGGGCACTCATCAACCTTAGGGCTAGAACTTGTGATTAATAACCCCCCCTTTCTATTTCATCAGGCTCTGTCTGTGCCAGTGCCTAGCAGTGGGCATGCATACAAGCTGATTAAACTCCTGTTGTGCTCATAGTGAAAGCTTGTGCCTTTACAGCCACAGATTCCCATCAAGTTTCCCTGGAGCAAAACTTTGCCTTCTTTGAACCTCGGTTTCTTGATCTATTAAATGAGGCCATTAATTCCTTGAAGAGATCAAACTTAAGTTGTTGTTGTTGTTGTTGTTTTTGTTTTAAAAAAAAAGTGTCACACTCAAATTGCATTCTGTGTATGTCACTTCACATTTCAATTGCCATTGCTTTTTTTTTTTTTAACTCTGAGTTTTGTTAGCTGAAAGACTAACAGACAGAAAACCTCTGTCTGCAGAAACCTCTGTCCCATAAACTGCAGATCAGGTGACAGGGCTTGACAGTTGCCCTACTGGATATTTCCAAAGGATATCTAAAAACTGCTGGGTTGGCCTGAGCTGTGCTGTATCAGAGATTCTCTGCCACTAGAGGAGAAAAGCTGATTTGGCTTTTTGGCCAGGAGGATCCCAGAACAAAGGCCTAGACGATCTTGCAGAGTGATCCAGGCCTGCTAATGTGCCTCAGATAAGGATGTTTCCTGCTGGGCTTCTCAGGTGGGACAACTGACCAGAAATATGTCAAGGAACTGTTGAGTTTTCTTAAGATAATACTTTGAGACAGTCTCTCTTTGAAGCTTAGACTGGCCTCAGTCTCCCAAGTGCTGGCATCCAGATATAACCACCATTCCGGTTCTGTAAGATAACTTGAACATACTACTATTACTCCATTCAATATTAATTCCTTTTATTACTTTTTTAAAACATATTTTGTTTGTGTTTATGTGTATGCACATGATCCCATCCATGGCTTACAGCAAAAGTCAGAAGACATTGTTGGGGAGCTGGTTCTCTCTCTCCACTGTGTGGGTTTCACATAACAAACTCAGGTTGCCAGGGAAGGTATCTAGTACCTTTATTATTTGAGCCATCTCACTAACCCACATTTTTTTGATTCACTGCTTTGATTTTTATCTCTAAACCACAAACTACAAGATGGCTTGTTTTATTAAGTTTTCTGAAAGTAAGTTTTACTCCGAAATCCAGGCTGGCCTGGAACTCCCTATGTAGCCCAGTTTAGGTCAGAACTCATGATAATCTGCTACCTTAGTTTCCTGAGTACTGCTATTAAATCATGCCCAACATGACTTATTTTTTAAGTAAAATTTTTAGTTTATATTTAAAAATGGGAAATACCATAAATATCCAGCATCAGAAAAAGGAATATACATCTGTTCAATTTAATTATGTAACATTATTATCAGGGTGGCTATGAAAATAGAGCAGCTGATATTAATAGCAGATTATAGAGTTTACATGTGCCAGGCAATATACTAAGAGATATGCATAACTTATTCCATTTAACCCTCAGGACCCCACCAAATAGCTATTTATGTCCTGGACTGTCTGGACTACTATGGCAAAGACTAGGACAATGTCAATTTAATTTCTCAGTTCTGGTGGCTAAGAAATCCAAGATAAAGATGTAGAGTGTAAGAGCCTTCTTCCTAGCTCACAGATTCCATCCTTTCATGTCTTCTTGTGATAGAAAGGAGAGAGGAGCTGTGATATATATATGATGGGAGATGTCATTCTGTATATGTTTCTCATACTGGTTAATAAAAAAAGCACTGGCCAATAGGAAAGGAAGATAGGAGGGACTAGGAGACAAGGAGGAAAGAGGAAGTAGTAAGGAGGAGCCAAGATGGAGAGTCTGGAGAGAGCAGTATGCGGCAGCCGGCTCCGAGTAAGAAGACCATGTGAAAATACATAGATTAACACAAAAGGGGTAACACTTAAGACAGAGCTAGCCGATAAGAAAGTAGTAACTGGCCAATAGTATAATATCAAATACAGAGTCTCTGTGCATTAACTGGGGCCAGCGGAGATATATATATATATATATATATATATATATATATATATATATATCAATATATCAATCACAGGGGCTTTGCTCTGCTGACCTAGTGCTTTCCAAAGGCCTCAAAATACTATTTAGGAATAGTGTTCAGATTTCAACAAACATGCCTTAGAGAGGCACAAAATTATTCTATACCATTTTATTATCTGTATTTTACAGATAAGGAAGCTAGGACACAGAGAAGTTGGGCAGCCTGCCTACGGTTCCTTAGCTAGAAAGAGTGGCTACATTCAGGCTGGCAACATTAACTATAAAGGGAAAATACTCATGATATTATGTTAGAAATAGAAAAGAAGACAAAAGTGACAGTTCTGACATAGCTTGTCAGAATGGGGTCCAGTACTTTTCCTGTTGCCCCAGAAGGGAGCTGTCACCCCACTATGGCAGCTAAGGTCACAAAGATCCAGAGAAGGTCTGCTTGGAGTCCATTTGAGCAGCACCACCATCTCCTGTAGTAACTGCAGGTGCTGTAGAAGGTTAAGACTGATTGCCCTTTGTGCCAGGCCCTAGCTAAGCATCAGTTCTGGAATCCTTGAGGTAAGAGGAGTCATGTGATGGGGCAGCACTGTTCAGGAGCTTTGCACTCCTGCTGACCAGACTGATGGCCTTACATGCATGGCACCTTAAAAACAGAAACACATTCCTTATAGTTGGGACTGTCACCTATGCTTGAAAGAAAAAGAAAACTAAACTTCTAAAAGGTTGAGACTTTACCAAAGTCTGCCTGACTTGAAAGCCAATTCTTGTCTCTATAATAGAGTCTGTTAAATGCGGCCACTGGGTGTTGCACATAGCAGGAGGCCAAAGGCAAATGCTAAGGAAAGGTCAGAGATTTGCACCAAATTTAGCCCTCCTGCTAGAGCAGTGTTTAAGACAAAAAAAAAAAAAAAAAAAAAAAAAAAAAGAGAGAGAGAGAGAGAGAGCAAGAGAGAGATTGGAAGTCAGAAAGCATAAAAATATGATAGCTAAGGCTTTATGATAAGTACACAGGACACTTTG